ACCACTCAGGCAGAATCATAAAACAGTCAATTTAGAACCTAACCCAGTCAGGCAGAAACCTATCCCAGTCAGGCAGAATCATAAAACAGTCAGTTTTGAACCTAACCACTCAGGCAGAAAGCTTATCCACTCAGGCAGAGTCATAGTACAGTCAGTTTAGAACCTAACCACTCATGCAGAAACCTTACCCACTCAGGCAGAGTCATAAAACAGTCAGTTTAGAACCTAACCACTCAGGCAGAATCATAAAACAGTCAGTTTAGAACCTAACCCAGTCAGGCAGAAACCTATCCCAGTCAGGCAGAATCATAAAACTGTCAGTTTAGAACCTAACCCAGTCAGGCAGAAACCTATCCCACTCAGGCAGAGTCATAAAACAGTCAGTTTAGAACCTAACCACCCAGGCAGAATCATAAAACAGTCAATTTAGAACCTAACCCAGTCAGACAGAAACCTAACCCAGTCAGGCAGAATCATAAAACAGTCAGTTTAGAACCTAACCACTCAGGCAGAAACCTTATCCACTCAGGCAGAGTCATAAAACAGTCAGTTTAGAACCTAAGCACTCAGGCAGAATCATAAAACAGTCAGTTTAGAACCTAACCCAGTCAGGCAGAAACCTATCCCAGTCAGGCAGAATCATAAAACAGTCAGTTTAGAACCTAAGCACTCAGGCAGAGTCATAATACAGTCAGTTTAGAACCTAACCACTCAGGCAGAAACCTTACCCAGTCAGGCAGAGTCATAAAACAGTCAGTTTAGAACCTAACCACTCAGGCAAAATCATAAAACAGTCAGTTTAGAACCTAACCACTCAGGCAGAAACCTTATCCACTCAGGCAGAGTCATAATACAGTCAGTTTAGAACCTAACCACTCAGGCAGAAACCTTACCCAGTCAGGCAGAGTCATAAAACAGTCAGTTTAGAGCCTAACCACTCAGGCAGAATCATAAAACAGTCAGTTTAGAACCTAACCACTCAGGCAGAAACCTTACCCACTCAGGCAGAGTCATAAAACAGTCAATTTAGAACCTAACCACTCAGGCAGAATCATAAAACAGTCAATTTAGAACCTAACCCAGTCAGACAAAAACCTAACCCAGTCAGGCAGAATCATAAAACAGTCAGTTTTGAACCTAACCACTCAGGCAGAAAGCTTATCCACTCAGGCAGAGTCATAGTACAGTCAGTTTAGAACCTAACCACTCAGGCAGAAACCTTACCCACTCAGGCAGAGTCATAAAACAGTCAGTTTAGAACCTAACCACTCAGGCAGAATCATAAAACAGTCAGTTTAGAACCTAACCCAGTCAGGCAGAAACCTATCCCAGTCAGGCAGAATCATAAAACTGTCAGTTTAGAACCTAACCCAGTCAGGCAGAAACCTATCCCACTCAGGCAGAGTCATAAAACAGTCAGTTTAGAACCTAACCACCCAGGCAGAATCATAAAACAGTCAATTTAGAACCTAACCCAGTCAGACAGAAACCTAACCCAGTCAGGCAGAATCATAAAACAGTCAGTTTAGAACCTAACCACTCAGGCAGAAACCTTATCCACTCAGGCAGAGTCATAAAACAGTCAGTTTAGAACCTAAGCACTCAGGCAGAATCATAAAACAGTCAGTTTAGAACCTAACCCAGTCAGGCAGAAACCTATCCCAGTCAGGCAGAATCATAAAACAGTCAGTTTAGAACCTAAGCACTCAGGCAGAGTCATAATACAGTCAGTTTAGAACCTAACCACTCAGGCAGAAACCTTACCCAGTCAGGCAGAGTCATAAAACAGTCAGTTTAGAACCTAACCACTCAGGTAGAAACCTTACCCACTCAGGCAGAGTCATAAAACAGTCAATTTAGAACCTAACCACTCAGGCAGAATCATAAAACAGTCAATTTAGAACCTAACCCAGTCAGACAGAAACCTAACCCAGTCAGGCAGAATCATAAAACAGTCAGTTTTGAACCTAACCACTCAGGCAGAGTCATAATACAGTCAGTTTAGAACCTAACCACTCAGGCAGAAACCTTACCCAGTCAGGCAGAGTCATAAAACAGTCAGTTTAGAACCTAACCACTCAGGCAGAATCATAAAACAGTCAGTTTAGAACCTAACCACTCAGGCAAAATCATAAAGCAGTCAGTTTAGAACCTAACCACTCAGGCAGAAACCTTACCCACTCAGGCAGAGTCATAATACAGTCAGTTTAGAACCTAACCCAGTCAGGCAGAAACCTAACCCAGTCAGGCAGAATCATAAAACAGTCAGTTTAGAACCTAACCACTCAGGCAGAAACCTTATCCACTCAGGTAGAGTCATAATACAGTCAGTTTAGAACCTAACCACTCAGGCAGAAACCTTACCCACTCAGGCAGATTCATAATACAGTCAGTTTAGAACCTAACCACTCAGGCAGAATCATAAAACAGTCAGTTTAGAACCTAACCACTCAGGCAGAGTCATAATACAGTCAGTTTAGAACCTAACCACTCAGGCAGAATTAAAACAGTCAATTTAGAACCTAACCCAGTCAGGCGGAAACCTAACCCAATCAGATAAGTAGTGTCTGGAGTATAAATATCAAAATACTAGTATATCATTGAATAAACAACTGGTTCTTTATATGCAACAATTGGTCTTGTTAAAGCTGAACACAACTCTTAAATAGGCTTAATTAAGCCATATTATTTTTCTTGTTTCCTATGTCAGCACTGGAACCCACACCTGATTAATTTAACCTGGTCACTGTTGGGTGTAGTGCATGTATTTTTTGTTTACATTTTGTTTTATTGAGGGTGCATTTATGTTTATTTTACTTTGTAATGCATTGACCAGTGCTACTGACATCGAATATCTTTGGTAATTATTTTTCTTGAAGTGGCAGAGGCACACAGATGTCATTTCTGTTGTGCCCAAGTCTATCATAATGACATGAAAGAGATGTCTGTTCAGGTAAACTCTGTAAAGCTAAATACATTGAACATGTTTTCTGTGCTTTCTACATCTTTATTCTTAAATTCTCCCATATCATTCTTGAGGTGTTGATTTCTCAAAGTTCAATTTTCACCATTTAAGGACAGTGCAATTATAGACTTACTCTGTTGTCCAATCCATTCAGTATATTTGTATTTTATATTTCACTTTATAATCACAATTCGTGTGTATAAAAAGGAAGTTTTTTTTAAATCACCACCTTTTTCTTTAATTTGAACTGAAAATGAACACAAGAAAATCTACAGAAGTTCATAACTTTATAGTTTTCAATCCGTTTTGTATTCTCTGTGTACATTACTACATCATTCATCAAGTGAATTATAAAGGCCTAAAACAATGAAATTACAGTCAAACTTTGATACCTTGGACTCAACAGAACTGAGAAGAAACTTGGAGGAATTGAGAGACCAATGATGAAATATAAATACAAAAAAGTGACTGAAACTTCCAAATCACTTTGAATTATCCATGGTATTTGAGATATCAGTGTTCAAAATACTGAAGTTCAACTGTACTTAGAGTTCCCTTAATCCCCCAGTCAGGTTCTTAATGAAGCAAAATATAATCTAACAAACATGTAGTAATGTGAGTGAGGTTACATCAAATTCTTCAAATAATAAACAACATAATATTATACAGTTATGGAATGGGTATGAGGGAAATAGCAAATTTATGGTTCCCCAAGGGAGGAAACTATTTCCTGAGGCAGCGAAGCCGCCGAGGGAAACAGTTTCCTACCAAGGGGAACCATAAATTTGATATTTCCCAAGTACCCATTCCATAACTGTTTTATTATACCGAAACAATCATGGGAGATTTATTAAACTAGAGACTCAGACATTTTTAAAAACAATACAGAGGTATTTAAATAATCACAATTGCATATGATCAAAAATACTGTAAGATAACTAATGCATCAATACCGAGGAAAATAGAATTATTAAAAAAAATATAAAATAATTTCACTGACACTTCGAAGGATTATTGTTGCCTTCAGTTTGCTAGAATATTTCAGTATGATTTTGACATCGCATGTCGAAATGTTTTGACGTCATACTTACATTGCTAATAACATTACGTCACAGACTCGAGATTCCTTGAATGCTCCGCCCACTGTTCATTTTAATTGGTTAAAATTATTAATATTCATGAGGGAGTAGTCCCAGAGAGTAGCTCCGATTTTTCAGGGAGTATTCCTCAGATGAGGGAAATAGTATCTTCTCAGGGAAATAGACAGTTTTATGGTATTAATTTTATATAGAGTAATAACAGTAGAGGTATAATAATAAAATCTACAGTACAATGTTCTCTGTGTACACTTCTAGATCTTTCATTAGAATGGATTATATAGGCCTAAAATCAGTAGAATTTCGTGTTAAATGCTTCAGCCAATTTCCTTGAACAAAGTTGCCCATGTGGCACAGTAGTAAGAGCGTCCGCTCTAGAGTCACAAAGTAAGGAGTTGATCCTTACGTCATGGGTTCAAATCCCACTGTGGGACGTGGATACCAGTCCTTCGGATGAGACTGTATAAACCAAGGTCCTGTGATACAGTAGGTGCTGACACAAAAAAGATCCCTCACTGCTCAATGGCCCCTAGTGCCGAGTACAGGTCAAAATTTGCAGCTCTCCACCAGCAAGTGGTGGCGTCTCCATATCAGTGAAAAATTCTCAAGAGGGACGTTAAACAACAAACAAACAAACAAACGATCAAAGTCTTTATGTACATGAAAATAATTAAATTATGAAAACAGAGCTTCTAACAAAATCTTCTATGAAATATACATGATGTAATACAAGAATTATATCTACAATACAACACACATGCACACATACATCTTTAACAATGATATGCTATACTATATACAGTGTTCAGTTTGTTTTACAATGTAAAGCTAATCTCAGCATCTTCTTAAAAATTATTGACAGGCTGGTTTCTTTCAAGCACTGGCACCAAGTGAAAAGAAGACGTTCACAGTGGGATTTAAACATTAATTAGCCCCAAAAAATGCAGATCAATAAGAGACAAGTATAAATCTGGTACAATAATACTGATTGTGCATCATAAAATGATATACATGTCACTGACATTGAAGAACAATAAATTGCATAAACACAATGAAAGTGCTGAAATTTTTAACTACATTTGATTTACAGCGAGTTGGCAATAAATAAACAAAACATTTCACTAAAACATAAAGTCTCAATCGACTTATGGACCAGAATTTTTTTACACTACAATGATTATAAATATAGACTGGTGACTAGAAACCAAAATGTCTTAGATTTATACATAAGACTTATACATAGAATAGTGTAGCTAATCTTTCTGATCAAATTCTACAGCTGCATGCTGAGAATATGACAGACGATTTGGTGACAATAATTGACCTGCATGCCAACACTTTCACTGAAAGGGAGTGAATATTCCGTCGTAAGTGCAAACATGCTATATGTACATTTGCAATGCAACTGATTTGTTGTTTGTGATCTTAGTTAATCATACTTATAAGTTAAATTATAGACATTTCTATTTTAAAACATCTTTTATTCCTGTCCTCATATGTCAGGCCAGTACTGTGGCAAACTAAATTTGTAACAGCTTCCTTTAGTATCACAAATGGAAGGCACTTGTGTCTCATTCTGAAAAAAAAGGAAAAATTTCAATATAATAATATTCTATATATATATATATATATATATATATATATATATATATATATATATATATATATATATATATATATATATATATATATATATATATATTAGGGATGTCAACGAGTACCCCGTTAACTGGGTACTCGATCGAACGTCCGAATATCGAATACTAAAAATGGTATTCGGTTACTCGGATATGTATTTTTTCTTATTTCAATGTACATATTTTTTCAAAAACTTATCAAAAAATAACTTAAATATGCATATGGGTAATTAGCGTGTCATCATCTACACATGTAAACACCCAATATAGCCTATGGCTGTGTATATACAGTAATTAGTGACCAATCACCTGGTACACAGCTGTTCTCACCTATTGTGGTCCTTAATTTTTTTATGGCTTCCATGATTGTTTTTCAGTGAACATTGTTTAATATGGTCTATTATCTTCAAATCATTTTTACATAATTTAGTTAATATACGGCAGCGAAATCGGACATGCATAGAAATGCCCCTACCCACTTCAAAATAAGTAAAGATTTAAAAAAATGTTTAAAGTCAGTTTCCATAGTAAGTTTAGTGTATACTTGGGAAACAACCAACATATGAAAAAATATTAGACTAGCGATCCAAACAACATCCGTTCCTTCTCTTTCGCTAGTCTAATCATCACAAATCTGCATAACAGATTGTCCTCCTTTTGCATTGATGAAATAGATCCTAAACAAGAACTGTAAACTATCTGTAATTTTGATGTATTAATTGCGTCATTTGTGTTAATTTAATAAATAAATTTAGTACCAAAAATCATTTCTGTTGGACTCCATGTCTCCATGTTTACATACATTCATAAAAAGCGATAAAAACAGCTTTGAGGTTTAACAAATTAACAATTAAAAATTAACAAACTTGTATTTACATTTATAAATATATATATATATATATATATATATATATATATATATATATATATATATATATATATATATATATATATATATATATATATATATATATATATATTTGTGTCTGCTTTCCTTTGATACCAAATACACGAGACCCATGGGTTACATTGCTCATCTGAGCACATTGGCTAAGAAAAAGCACAAATCAGTTCAGTATTGAATAGTATTTGATTCCCCAATGTGGCCCAACCCTGGCCTAACCCCAGGGGTTATCATTTGAACAAACTTGAATCTACACTACCTGAGGATGCTTCCAAATCAATATGACTGATAATGGCTTTAATGTTCTTGAAAAGAATACCGGTTATTTTTAAAGATTCATTCTACCCCCGGGGATTATCATTTGAACAAACTTGAATATAAACTATGTAAAGAAAGTTTCCTATAAGTTTGAACTTTTTTGGTCAAGTGGTTCTTGAGAAGAAGAATTTTAAAGATGCCACCACATTTTCACTTTTTCTGAAATATCTTCCCTTGAAAGAGGACTTGGCCCTTCATTTGATCAAACTTGAATCCCCTTTACCCTAGGATGCTTAGTGGCAAGTTTGGTTGAAATTGGCCCAATGGAAGAGAAGTCGAAAACGTGAAAAGTTTACGGACAGAAGACAGACAGACTACAGATAAAATGTGATCGGAAAAGCTCACTTGAGCTTTCAGGTCAGGTGAGCTAAGAAGTATATGTAAGGAAAAGTCCTGAACTTCTATAATTTTCTTGGATGTTCTTAAATAGAACAGGACAGGACATCTACTGCATAAATGTATCAGAAGGAATAAACTTCCAAACTTACCAAGAAAAATCAATCAAGATCCTCTCCAGTTCTTCATTTTCATAGTTAAAAAGAACTCTGCTCCAAAAACTTTAACCTGGGACACCAACACCAATGCTGAGGGTATCACATAAGGTTCCCCAATTTCGTTGAGTTGAGCTAAAAACTAAGAAATGACTTTTTGTATTATATTCTATGACATTTCTTGTATAAGTATCTCATTCAATTTCAATTACATCATTTACAATGATATATTATCATAGGTGAATAGCAGAGGGGAATAATTTCTCTCAGTAGAATATAAATTAATGAAGCCCAGTTCAAGCCCTGCCCCAAACCGGGACACTTGACCAAGTGTTCCAAAATTTAAAACATTTGTTAAAAATGCCCTTGCTCAACACAACTTTGTACTCTTTTTGTCTCCTAGTTGCCCAGGAGCATAGATGAAGATTTTCAAAGAAATAACGATGTTCAGATTCCACACAGCCCCACATAAACACCAAAAGACCTGACTTAGGGGGCTATTATTTTCATAACTTTAAAAGAGGTATCCTTGCTCATCATAACCATACCATTCATTTGTCTGCTTAATACCACTAGGTAAAGAAGAAGATATTTAGAAAATTTATGCATTTCACTATCTTATCTAAAGAACACCTAAACACTCTGACCTAGATTGGGCCATGAAATTCACCATTTTGAAAGAGGCACCTTTGCTCATCATAACTATGCTTTTATTTTTGGTTAGCTCAATATCCAGGTGCAGAAATGAAAATTTCCAAAGATATATTGCATATATATATACTTTAATAGGCCCCCAAAACACCAGAACCATTGACCTTGGAGCACCACATTTAACAATTTTAAAAGAAGTTTCTTGCTCATCAAGCACTAAATTCATGTGCTAAATACCCAGTAAAACCTCACCCTGACACCAGAACCCCTGACTTTGGAGCCACTTATACTTAGATTTCTGCTTAATACCCAGGAGCAAAGAAGATTTTCAAAGAAAAACATACCGGCACACAAGCATTAATAAAGCCCCACCCTAACACCAGATCCCCAGGGCCTTGGGCCAAAAATTTTACAATTTAAGTAGAGGTGCCCTTGCTTATTAGAACCATGCACCTAGTTTACCTGATAAATTATACAGAGAGGAGAAGGTTTTTAAAAAGAATTTATCCATTTTCATTATATGATCATTAGAGCTCTGCCCTAACTCCAGAATCCCTACTTCATGAATTTCAAAGTTTTGGTAAGGGCTCAGTGCTTATTACAATCATGCCAACAGTTTGACTGCTAGATGTCCAGGAGTTATGATGAAGATTTTGAAAGATAGCACTAATTTTGATGGTTTAAACTCCACCCCTCAGTCCCCAGGGGGAGGGGGGGAGTGACCATGAAATTCAAAATTTTTGTACCCCTTCACTTATTAATGCTATTCCAAAATTAGTTGAAATTGGTTCAAAGGTTCAAGAGAAAAAGCTTGAAAAAAGACCTATAGTTTATGACCAACAAATGACACACATCCACAGAAAAGTGACTCAGGTGACCTAAAAATATATTTCTTTGTACATAACTTGTCTCCTAATGCGGTCTTATCCTATATGGGGGTCATGATTTGCATAAATTTGAAACTGCACTACTTGAGGATCCTTGCTTATTAGACTTCCTTAACAAAGCCAAGCTGCTCTTTAGAAAAAAAAAGATTTATTAGTATTTTTCCTATATATATGTATTCCTGTGTCAAATCTTTCTTGATCCTAAATTCTGGGACCACAGTTTGAACAAATTTGAATAGATCTACTCTTTTGTCTAATCCTAATATAAACTCCTTTAGTTGCATGATAGGCTTCTTGATTGTAAACATGACCTTTTATGCACTATAGCTACATATAATCAGTACAATATAAAACAAGAGGCCCATGAGCCACAATGCTCATCTGAGGAATACAACCCTTCTTCATCAACAGATTCTTTTTCCTGTACATATTCCTACTTAAAATTTGATATCATATTGTAGCCCCACCCTTTTCCCAAGAGTCATGATTAACAAACTTGAAATTACACACCCTAGGATGCTTCCATGTAATCATGACTAATCATGACTTTGCTTGAGAAGATTTATACAGATTTTTCCTATATATTTGTAGGTAATACTTTCATCCTCTACTGTGTCCCCACCCTACCCCCAGGCATCATGCTTTGAAAAACTTGAATCTAAAAAAGTTGTTGTGGGTGCTTTATTGTCAATATGACTAATCATGCCTTTGCTGTTCTTAATACAAAATAAGATTTTCCCTATGTATTCCCATGTAAAACTCTGATTGCCCGCACTTGCCCCACCATACTCCCAGGGACATGAATTGTATAAAACTTAATTTATTCTATGTCAGGATGCTTTTACTTGGGTTTCGTATTTTCAAGCCTAGTGGTTCTTAAGAACATTTGAACGATCATACCAAATTTTTACTGTTTCTTAATTATCTCTGCTGGGAAGAGATGTGGTCCTTCATCAGAATGAATTTCCTTTACCAAAGCATGCTTTGTACGAAAGTTTGTTTGAAATTGACACAGTGGTTCTAGAAAAGAAGGTGAAAATGTGAAAAATTATGAAGGAGATGGACAAATGCACAAATTTTGATCAGAAAGAGCTCACTTGAGCCTCCAGCTGATATGAGTTAATGCTAAATAGAGATGTTAGTGTGAAATAATTAATTCAGGAGGTAATTGAATTAGATCCCTCTTCCTTAAAACTTTGATCATTTTTTGTGGTCCCATCCTACCCCAGGAGATCATGAATTGAACAAACTTCAATCTACACTACCTGAGGATGCTTCCCCCACTTCTGCCCCACTCTACACCCCGTGGTCATGATTTGAGCAAACTTCAACCTACACAACCTGAGGATAATTCAATATAAATATGACTGATCATTAGTTTGCTGTTCTTGAGAAGATTTTTAAAGATATTTCCTATATATTTCTATTTAAAAATTTGATCCCCTGTTGTGGCCCCATGGCTAAGCTGTGCTTAAGATGAATATTCTTTGAGTTTTCCTATATATACCTATGTAAAAATTGTTCCCCTGTTGTGACCCCGCCCTGAAAAAAATAAGGCAGAACATTCAAGAACTTAATGAAAATTGTGGACTTCCTGATACCACATCAGAGCGGAAGGACATGCCAGATATAATAATGCCACCTTCAGTGCCATTGGAAAAACCCCATTCCAAGCTGCCACCAATGTGACTTATACCACAAGTGAAAATGTTACTCAGAGGAAAAATGTTGTGGCAGTGTTGTGTGGGAATAAACTATGCAAGAAAGGCAGACACCTGAGAAGCAAAGGAAAGGAAGTTAACTGCCTAAGACACGAAGACTGCACTGCAACCATTCCTCCAAAGGCCACCACTGAAGATGAGAAGAGATGGGCTGCAAAATGGTGAGTTACAAAGTGATGACCGTCCACTAGTCATTTCCCATTTCACCAGTGATGGAGATGGAGCAGCTGCATCTGGTGAATCTGAAAAACAAGGACATGTCATTGAAAACCTTAAAGACTTGCATCATTTCTTTGTCTCTCAAAGACAATAGAAGAAATCCAAAACTGTGAAAAATCCAAAACTGTTAAAATGCATGTACAATTTATATCTCAAAGAAAATACTGTAGATCTAAAAGATATCAGCTCTACAATAAAACATAGGTAATCAAAGATTACATAACTCAACTCAATGAATGTTTGTGTAAGGCAAAGTCCCACACTAAACAAATAACCTATTAGTGTGCATCCCTAGATGCAACATTTATGCAATTTTGTTCTGATAGGGCTTTACAGTTACTTGGGAATGGACTAATCTAAGAACTTTTAACTTGCCAATTATCCAGAAATCCAGCATCTGAAGCAAGTTTGAGAATGTTCATCCCTTGATGCATCATCCTTGCAAGTTCGGTTCAGAAAGGCCTTATAGATTCTTGGTAATGGACCTGAACCAAAAACTTTAACCTGGTCACTCATCTGGAATATGTAGATCAAATCAAGCATCTGAAGCAAGTCCAGTAGTGTGCATCCTTAGATGTATCATCCATGCAAGTCGGGTCAAGGTACAGCAAATAGTTACTTTAGAATGATCCTGCTCCAAAAACTTTAACCTGGTCACCCATCTGGAAAACGTAGGTCAGATCCAGTATCCGAAGCTAGCCTGGTAGTGTGCATCCTTAGATGCATCATCCATGCAAGTCTGGTCAACATGGGTCTATAGTTACTTTAGAATGAACCTGTTCTATAAACTTTAACCTGGTCACTCATCTGGAAAATGTAGGTCAGATCCAGCATCTAAAGAAGGGTGGTAGTATGCATCCTAAGATGTATCATCCATGCAAGTTTGGTCACGATAGGGCTTATAGTTACTTGGAAATGAGACCTGCCCCAAAAACTTTAACCTGCTCCAAAATCTTCAACCTGCTGGGATGCCGGAGGTATCACATAAGCTCCCCCAACTTCTTTGAGGTGAGCTAAAAATCTAAAGACACTTACAGTAAATCAGTAACAGATTCAATATTAAAAAGGAAGTTGTGTGAAAAGGGAGGGGGGAGGGAGGGGAGTGGGGGGCATTGATGCTGTGTATTTAATTTAAATGTATGAATTTTGTAATTAATAAATAATTTGTAAATTTATAGACTATATAATAATTGTTGTTATGTTTTATTATGCACTGATTCTATTCAACTGTGTAAATGGGGAAAATGTGGAAATGTAAATGATGTATAATTGTATGAGTAAAATGTGACATTTTCTTATATGAGGGAGTCCATACATGTAAAAATGTTTTAATTTTATCTTATTAAAATTATTTTAATTAATTATCTTGTTTTTCTTACCTATCTGATGAACACAACAAAGGTTACAGAGGTGATTGGTAGAAATACGGGTGTCAAAACTCTCTGTTGATGACCAGACAGCATACTGCACTGTATATCCGCCATTACTGATCTTAAACATGGGAGACAACTCCTGAAATCAGAGAAATTGTAGTCAAAATGAGAGTTACCTGTTACTCTTTAGGTCCGACACAATGAAATAATTTCACTACATGTTACTATATAGCTTCAATTAAATTAATTAATTAACTAAGACTCTAAGCAGATAATCAATGAAAGAGAAAATAAAGATTAATGCTTAAACAAACAAGAGGCCCAAGGGCCTTAACGGTCACCTGAGTACAATACAACAATTTAGAGGATCCATAAACTGATAAATGAAGCTCTGTTGCCCAAAAGCAAGAAAATAGTATGATTTGCATCAACAAAATAATTGGTCTAGTATCTATCTGTCCCCCATTTATCACTATTACCATGCAGAATATCAACAAACTGTCTATTTTTTAACCCCATATTTTTACTTCTCACATTGACCTCTCTTGGCCTTTGAAGAACAATTAAAAAGGATAAGTTATTTTTGTCTCAATTTTATTCATCTATTATTTCCAAGTCTACCTGGGGCCATGAATTTCACAATTTCGGAAGAGGCATTCTTCCTTATAACCATGCACTTCCTTTGTTTGAAAAATACCCAGGAGTAGAGAAGAAAATTTTGAAAAAATTTATGCATTTTCCCTATATTATCAATAGAGCCCCACCCTTACACTAGAACCCCTGATCCAGGGGCCACGAAATTCACAATTCTGGAAAAGGCAACCATGCTTGTCATAACTATGCACCAAGTTAGTTTATTTAAAATCCAAGAGCAGAGAAGATTTTCAAAGAACTAATGCAATTTTACTATATAATCAATAGAGCCCCGCCCTAACACCAGAACCCCTAACCCTGGGGCCATGAAATTCATAATTTCTAAAAAGGCAGCCATGTTCACCACAACTATGTTCTTAAATACTTTATTTAATACCCAGGAGCAGAGAAGAAGATTTTCAAAGAATTAATGCATTTTCACTATATAATCAATATAGCCCCGCCCCAACACCAGAACCCCTAACCCTGGGGCCATGAAATTCAGAATTTTGGAAGAGGCACTCTTGCTCATCATAACTATGTACTTAGTTACTTTATTTAATACCCAGGAGCAGAGAAGAAGATTTTCAAAGAATTAATGCATTTTCACTACACAATCAATAGAGCCCCGCCCTAACACCAGAACCCCTGACCCTTGGAACATGAAATTCACAAGTTTGGTAGTGGCACTCTTGCTCATCATAACTATGTACTTATTTAGTTTATTTTATATCCAGGAGCAGAGAAAAAGATTTTCAAAGAATTAATGCATTTTCACTATGTAATCAATAGAGCCCCAACCTAACACCAGAACCGCTGACCCTTGGGCCATGAAATTCACAATTTTGGAAGAGGCACTCTTGCTCATCATAACTATGTACTTAGTTGGTTTGTTTAATATCCAGGAGCAGAGGAGAAGATTTTCAAAGAAATAATGCACTTTCACTAGATGATCTATAAAGCCCCACCCTAGCACCAGAACCCCTGACCCTGGGGCCATGAATTTCACAATTTTGGTAGAGGGCTCAACGCTTATTACAATCATGCTAACAGTTTGACTGCTTGATGTCCAGGAATAAAGAAGAAGATTTTTAAAGATTGCATTAATTTTGGTGGTTTTAGCCCCACCCCTTAGGCCCCAGGGGGGCAGGGACCATGAAATTCAAAATTTTTGTTCCCCTTCACCCATAGAATGCTATATGCCAAATTTGGTTGAAATTGGTTGAGCGGTTTCAGAGAAGAAGCTAAAAATGTTCAAATGTTAACACACATTGCACGATGACAGACAAAAACGGATAGCTATAGGTCACCTGAGTGACTCAGGTGACTTAAAAATTGAGACCAGAAAAAATACACCCTGACAGTAATTAACAGTAAACATATCTACCCTGAAATACACGTAGGCTTCACATGTTAACAAACATACTACACACCATCCAGGATGTTGCACCATGCACACCTAAAAAAAAGTTCCCTTTAATTAAGTGGGACAATTCTGCTAAAGATATGATATTCTTAGCTCATGAGTCCAAAATTAATACTGTAGGCCTAAAATAAGATGCCAAAAATGAAAAAATAAAAATAAATTGTCTCTCGTTATATATACAACTATAACTGACTAAGTTCATTTTGATTGGCTGTTTCCTTTGAACACACTCACGTCTTGTAATGAAATCTGTATTCATTTCTGAAAATATAAGTGCATAACATCAAAATCACTTTTCTTAAAGTTCTCCTCAGAAGAATATTATCTATGAGTGAAGGCAATGTCTATCATAAATTGAATGTTCTAGTAGTGTGCACATCTACATGCCTTACCATACAAGTTTGGTCTAGTTAGGAATTATAGTTTCTTGGGAATGTCCAAAATAATCATCCTGAAAATAAATGTCTTATCATCCACTTAAGTCAGAAGCATCATCCATGCAACTTTTTGTACAGGTAGAGCTTATAGTTACTTGAAACTTTGGTACTTTGTAAAAGTTTTATGGGCAAGTCCCAAGTAACTATAAGCTCTACGCTTAAAGTTACTTGGGAATGAACTTTCCCATAAAACTTTTACTGGGATGTCAACACACTTATAAAGCAAAAGCTCATCTCGACTTTGTTGAGGTGAGCAAAAAATATTCAGTTTACTGCCTTTTGAACATTTGTTGTCACATTGTAGAATTGGTAGTGTTTTCTTTAAATATGATTAATTATTATGCTGAGGAGTGTTCAAGAAATGTAAAACAATGTATTCTCTGGGGGAAAAAGTGATTCTATCACACCATCTAAGTTTGTTGGTATGCCAGTCTAACCTACCAAATGAACCACTTGTAGAAATCTTTATGGATGAGGAATTAGTGTCTTATAGTCATCCTGCCTCCCAATGATGGCATCATCAGAATCTGTCTCCATTCACTGTAATTATGACAAACTATTGCATAATTTTAAGTTGAAAGGAAAGCAAATGATATTTATATGAAATAACAAGATGTGTTTGTGAAACATTGTTGTCCCCTATGGCAGTTCAAGACAAAGGTTTGGATTTTTCAAATTTAGGTTGAGGTCTACAAGGTTAAAGTGAAGAGTTCAAAAAGTGTTTGTATTCAAAGAAAGGTTTTGTCACAACAAATACCATCTTCTCTAGTCAAAGGTTTCTGATCTGCTACTCTCCTTACAAACCCTTGGCATATGGTGCTGTCAAAAGATGGGAAGTACAGTCTAAGCAAAAAGTCTGAATCAGATCTGTTCATCATTTTTTAAAATCTCTTATACAGATAAAATGCAGGAATGTTTTTGAACTCAGTCAAATTAGTTTATCAGCTAAAAGACATGTTCAGGACATACATGTATATCAAAACATACAAACAAAGTGATTACAGTCTTTTGGCCCTTTTAAGTCTATTTGCTTTAAGGGGAGGGGATGGGTGGGTACTGAATAGCATCTTTTGATTTTATCAAATGACAACTATGTTAACCTACCTTTTCTCATCTTTGCTCCAGCCTTTTCTTTCTACTTGCTTTACCTGGAAAAATGCACAAAATTTTCATTTTAGGTGTTGTACTACATTTTAACATCTTAGAATTTTATGAAATGGGAACTTTTTTCACAGTTTTCATCAAAAGAGCAGATCTGAAAAAAAATAATGACCTTCTTAAGAGATATATGAACATGTATATGCCTATTATGAAAGCATTTCCATATTCTAAGAAAATAAACCACCAAATACATGTACTTGTTTTTAACAAAAAAATACTGTATAAGCGGAAATCTTAGTGAGATGCCAATTTAGAAATTTACCCCCAAATTTTTAGCAAGAAGTAATTTAAGTGATTTTGTAATATCAAGAGAGAAAGCTATAACAGCCAAAATAGAATAAATTGTTAGCAATATTCAATTTTAGCAATCTCAGTTCCCTCACTAAAAATGCCAAAATTGAATCCTCCCTAAAAATTCTGCTTCTATGGTAATTTGAATTCTCAGAAATTATACTCATTTACAGAATTGCAAATGATTTCTTGCAATGACAAAGAATTTAAAATAAGTATAGACGATTATAAAATACAATAAAAATCTTTGAGTATATCTGGTGCAGTTTTTTGGGGTTATCAAACACATTTTTAAAATTGTTCTTTCATTTGCAAAAATTCCAGTGAAGTAAAATATGAAACTAGGAACATTACTTCATCAACCAAACAATAATAAAAACAAAGGGGGAGTTTCGATAAGGCGGTTTTTCGGCCCCTCACGAAATTTTCTGAAATTTTTTATATTTTGTAGAAAAACTCCTTATCGTCCAAAAAATATGAAAATAATTTATGTGATGCATTTTCCGGTCACGTGATAATTGAAAATTTAAGTATACCCCCTTTCGTATATTTTTGGAGTAGACATTTTTATAGGGGGAAAGTGGATTTTTTAAATCATCAAAATAATAAATGAAATAGGGTAAATATGAATAAAGACATAAATTAACCAATTTCAACAATTTTTTTTACGGAAAATGGTATTTACCTTACGCGAATTTTTTTTTTAAGGTGCGATATTTTTCTGGTGTGTTAAATGTTACTTTTCTTTAAAAGAGGATGAATTGATCTTATAAAACGTAAACATATATAGAAAGTTTTAACATCATAATTAATCGACAGTTTATATGTAAACTGTACAATCGATATTTAACATTTTCCCATACGAAAAATGCAAATGAAAAGATATATGGACATGAGATAGGTAAACGTAAAAACGTCATATACAGGGATATGCAATACATTTTCATCAATGAGATTATACAACTACATATTTTATAAAAATATACCTTAATATCATAAAATTGAAATTAAAGAGGCTGGGGGGTTGTGGCCATTTTTAGACTATATTGATCTCCTTTAGAAGAGCTCCATATGAAGATATAGAAAATGATCAAATTTTAAAACTAAAATTTTTGAAATTTTTCTTTGCCAAATGATAGTTGACAGCTTAAGATACCATATCTAAAAATTAAAGTTAAATCTGGTGGTTAATTTGTGGTTAATTTGTTGACCCCCCAGCCTCCTTAAATAAAATGTTTTGAAGTAAAAAGATTAAAAAATAAATGCAACTTTATATACATACATGAATAAGAAGTTTATTTAAAAGAATCATATTGCTATGTAAGCCGGTACGTTGTAGGTGCAAGGTAAGAAAAATATTTTATCTGGCAGCCACCACATAATTATTTGGCGGCCACTAGAAAAATATATCTGCCAAATAGCTTTCCTGCGGCCAAAACATAAATAACTGGCAGCGACCAGAAACTTATTTGGCGGCCAACACATAAATAACTAGAAGCAGGCAAGTAAGTTTCTTGCGGTGTAGACATGTAATCTTGATAATAAGGCATGAAACTCCCAGATTTGACTACAAACAGAAGTTGTAGATGTCGTTAAAGGCAGAGATTTTAAGCACCACCTTTAAAAATACCTGGTCTGTGTACCTCTGTCAATCAAGTGCATTAAGGTACATCATTGGGTGCTACAACTTGATTGGCAAACCACTAAATTTTTTCTGGCAGCCGCCAGATATTTCAATGGCAGGCCAGATAATATACATTTTTTTTACCTAGCACCTACCTGCTTCAGTATATTGCAATGTATTTGATAATATGAATAATATTAATTACAGTCAAAAATATTTTATCATGATACGTAATATGTGAATAGCCAAATGATAGAAAAATCTATAATACATTGAGTGTTTCCTTTTCATTATGAAACTTAGAAGTATTTGCCTGCATTATGTTTTCAGCATAACTGAGAGAATCCCAGCCAGGACTAATTTCCTATCGCTTCCCCGCTCTCCATAGATACTTAAGTTGCTTCACCAACTCTAGTCACTCCTCATTTAGAGAGTTTTAGAATTCATTATAAATGATTTGCTAGACCAAAGCGCAGTTCGAAATACACGTGTAAATGCCAAAGATATGTGTTTAATCCTTAATCAGGCAGACATATGCGCCTAGACATCCAGACTTAAAACAATCCACGTTCCCTATATGTCAATCACACGGAAATACATGGGCACTTCTCTAGCATGTTGGAGCGTGAATTTCTATACAAGAAAGTCAAATATATTTGTATTTTTGACTTTCTTGTAACTATGCATGATAAATAACGTTAAGGAATGGACTTGCTTTAAAATTTTTTTGTTCAGTCAGTCAGAAAATGTAAGAAAGTTCCAGCATCTGAACCATGTCTGGTAGTGTGCAATCCTAGATGCAACATCAGTGCAAGTTTGGTTATGATAGGGCTTATAGTCACATAAGAATGAGACACACTTCAAAATCTTTAACCTGCTCTATCATTAAGGAAATGTAGGTCATATCCAGCATCTAAAGCAATCTAATAGTGTGCATCTGTAGATGCATCATGAAGCAAGTCTGATCAACAAGTGCTTACAGCTGCTCTGCTCCAAAAACTTAAACCTGCTTTTAAAACATTTACCTGGACATTCTTTGGCTAAAATCCAGCATTTGAAACCTTACTGGTGACAAGGAAACATGCTAGATCAGGTGACTGTGATTAATATAGGGCATAGATATACTTGAAAAAAAATCTGCTTCAAAAACTTTTACCTGGAACACCGATGCTGACGGTATTACAAAAGCTCCCCCAACTTCGAGGAGGTGAGCTAAAAATGTGACGTTAGCGTTAACGTTATATGTTGGCGACAAAAATAGTATCAAAATGAAGACAGGATACGATAATGTTTTCTACTGTTAATACATGTATAATCGAGAATCTTCTTTAATTCAACAAATATGCTACTTTTGGCTTAGTATTTTAACACAGAGTCAGATCAAGAAACCTGGAGTTTCTACTTTTAGATATGCATGTTATGCAATTTTCAATTTTTGGATATGAAGTGCACAGGCGACACTCATCATATTTCAAGAAATTAGTGTGCAGAGTATATCTAATTACTGAACAAATTTAGGTGAGTGTCCCTCATGCACTTCATATTCTAAACATCGATTTATAAATGCCACCCTCTTATATTTTCCCATGAGCCTAATGTTAACGAATCTGAGTGCACATCTAAGTATGTATCAGCTACGGTGTTAATTCTTCTCATATTAACTTTTAAAATATAAATAACAAAAGTTAACATATTTATCTTGAATTCTAAACTAGTTTTGAAAAAATAAATTGAAATTTATTTTTAAGAAAAAGTGGGCCGCTGAGCGGCCTTATCGAAACTCCCCCTTTAACATCAAAATTTCAAACTCAGAATGTCTGGATCTAAACTGACTTGTTTTGTTCCAGCTTGACTGGGTTAGGTTTTAACTAGAGTGGGTTTGATTCTAAACTGACTTATTCATGTTCCTGTCTAACTGGATTAGATTTCTACCTGACTGGGTTAGGCTCTAAACTGACAGTTTTATGATTCTGCCTGACTGGGTTAGGTTCTGAACCGACTTGTTCATGTTTCTGCCTGACTAGGTTACATTTTTTCCTGACTGGGATAGGTTCTAAACCGACTGTTTTATGTTTATATCTGACTGGGTAGGTTCTAAACTGACTGTTTCATGATTCTGCCTGACTAGGTTAGGTTCAAAACTGACTGTTTTATGTTTCTGCCTGAATGGGTTAGGTTCTAAACTGACAGTTTCGTGATTCTGCCTGACTGGGTTAGGTTCTTAACTGACTTGTTTATGTTCCTGCCTGACTGGGTTAATTTCTTAACTGACTTGTTCATATTACTGCCTGACTGGGTTATGTTTCTACCTGACAGGGTTGGGTTTTAAGCTGACTGTTTTCTGATTCTGTCTGACTGGCTCAGGTTCTAAACTGACTTGTTCATGTTCTTGCCTGACTGGGTTAGGTTTCCACCTGGCTGGGTTAAGTTTCTGCCTGACTGGGATAGGTTCTAAACTGACTGTTTTATGATTCTGCCTGAGTGGGTTAGGTTCTAAACTGACTGTTTTATGTTCCTGCCTGAATGGGTTAGGTTCTAAACTGACAGTTTCGTGATTCTGCCTGACTGGGTTAGGTTCTTAACTGACTTGTTAATGTTCCTGCCTGACTGGGTTAATTTCTTAACTGACTTGTTCATATTACTGCCTGACTGGGTTATGTTTCTACCTGACTGGGTTAAGTTCTGAACCAACTGTTTTATGTTTCTGACTGGGTTATGTTTCTACCTGACAGGGTTGGGTTTTAAGCTGACTGTTTTCTGATTCTGTCTGACTGGGTCAGGTTCTAAACTGACTTGTTGATGTTCTTGCCCGACTGGGTTAGGGTTCCACCTGGCTGGGTTAAGTTTCTTCCTGACTGGGTTAGGTTCTAAACTGATAGTTTTATGATTCTGCCTGAGTGGGTTAAGTTTCTACTTGACTTGTTTGGGTTCTAAACTGGCTATTTTATGATTCTGCCTGACTGCTTGAGCTAACTTGTTCATGTTCCTGTCTGACTGGGTTAGGTTTCTACCTGACTGGGTAAGGTTTTAAGCTTACTGTTTTACAACTCTATGTGACTGGGTTAG